TTATTATTTAATTTAGCAAACCCCAAAGTTTTAATTTGCCAAGGATTTTGGAAAACTATGTTTCTGGCTGGCAAAACAGGTTTGGCCCAGCTGCTTGATGTAAAACTACCTCATTTTTTTCTGCTGGGGAAAATGTGACCAGCCCCCTCCTTCAACAAGGAGTGAACCCCCACTATCAATATACCTATAATTATAACTGAAAAGCTTTACTACAAATCCTTCATTTTAGTTTCATTATTTATCCATGTTTCAACAATTTTGAGATTTTAAAGCCAATTATTACTATCCAATGCATTTTCTTTGGTAAATTCTGTAACAGAGATAACTTACTGACTTTCAGTGTCCCCAATGTTAACTTTGGAATGCAGTTCATTATTATTCAAAAACTGCCCTTTATTATGAAAACACTAATCTTGTTGCTTAGAACCAGCCTGTATTTTTTCCTTGGTTCATTTTTGCCATCTTTTTGAGAAAAGTAGTTTTGGGTTGATTCTATAACATCCATAAAGAGATGGAGCACTCTTTTGTCTTAAGCTAGCTTTCTCTCTTTAGGAGTACAGAAATCCCAGATGCATTCCTAAATTCTGCCAAATTTTTAAAGGATGGATCGGGAAATAAAAATCATGGCAAAAATAAGACTTTTTAAAAGCACTCTTGGGAGTGGGCATCCATTTTACAGGATCAACATGTGTTTCTCCACCACCACATTTTGTTTGCTCTGGGGAAATTCAGTAAATGGTCTAGCTGTTCAGGTGGTTTCTTTCCCCAATTAAAGTAACAGCATGCTTAATAAACTAACAATAAACTCATCAATAAACAAATCAAACAAAAAGGACACATCAACAAACATATAAACAAGACTTAATAAATCACAGTTCTTTCCTGGAAATTTCTCTCCATAGCATTGAATACCCTTTAAAGTTATTTTAGTTAAACTCTGCCTGTCCTAAGGCATCATATGGTAATTTTCAGACAAAGAATCAGAATCTTCCTGTGAGAGAGCTGATAGCTCCACCCTGTCTAGCTGCCATGTCTTTCCACACTAGAGGCAGAGGATCCAGCGGCTTTTTACTGAATATGGACTTTTGATCCCGAATATGAATTAAGCATTTTGCAATTTAAACAAGTCCCCACATAGTTAAAGATGACAACGGCTCTCTTTTTCCTCTAACCTGCTTTAAAAAAGTAACTTTTTACATTTTAATGTCTTTATAATTTTGCCTTTTAACTGAATTCTTCCCCATTATGGCCTTGCTTGAAAAAGATGTCCTCACCCTCTTTGGATCCTGACTTCCAAAGCTAGTACGAGCTTTACACACAGTTAATCTCCCCACCGAATTTTCCGAAAAACCCCACCTATTTACTGGTGATCCCCACCTTTACCGGTGGTCCTCTTCCTTCGCTCAGGTGAATAATCACCAGATGTCCAGATGTCCCTGTTCGGGTGACATAAATGCCGCAGTTTTTTTGCGGCAAGGATTCAGGAATCTGGAGATGGGGTGTGTGCATAAATGGATAGAGACTAGACAAGAATATAAATTTGAAAGGCACGGGAAACCAGGTGGAAACCAGTTCTATAGTGAAGTGTCTCCCTGAGTCTCCAGACCCACATTCTTTTTATTTACTGGAAAACACATTGGCCCTTTAGGAATGGAAAAAGGTAAAGTTTGGTAAACAGGAAAAAATAATCAGATTAGGAGAAATGCCTACAGCTGTACAGCAGCAGGTAATAATATGCAGATTTTCAGCCCTGCTGAAGCCCCAAGGTCCATCAGCCTTCTGATGAACTTCTTCCATAATTATGACCTGCTGAAATTTGTCTCCAGCACATATGCTTAATCAGTTTTTGAAATATCTTAAATTATATGCATTTGGGGTCAGTCTGGTTTTTAGAGTTACTAGGAAGCACAGATCAGCTCCTAGTTTCCTCATTGGTGTTAATTGCATTACTATGCCCTTAGGGATCTAGACTGGAAAACTTTTTGTCATCTTTGACTTATTCCTGTCCTTCACTTTTCATATTCAGTAAATAATTTGCTTATAAGGCCATTCATACACATCTTGTACTCTTCATTTTTATTGCAACAAACCTAGTGAGTATAATGCTTAGTTATCTGTCTTTCTGTCCATCCACTTATCCATCCATCCATCCATCCATCCATCCATCCATCCATCCATCCATCCCTTGTGACTCTACTTTAAAAAAAATATTTGAAAGACAATAAAGCGAAGCACGGTAAATCTGGATTAAAAGGAAACAGAGTAGGCCTTAATCAATTGTTCTCAACGTTAGATGCATTAGAATCAATGGAGAACTCTTGAAAAATATTGATACTCAGAACAACTCACAGAGATTTGGATTCCTATGCTCTATAGCTCCCTCGGTTAATGTGCAGCCAGTTTGGGAACTATGGAATTGAAAATGAGGGAGTAGATATTACCAGCCACTTGATATGAGCTGATTACAACCTTTCAAACATGTGTATGGCTGCAAAGGCAAAAAAGGGATATATGCTCTGTTAAAGACACCTCATTGTCTGACAAAATGTGTTTTCCCCAGTGTTAAAACTAAAAGTAACATAGTTATGTTCCAGTAATGCAACAATATCTACACTTTGCTGAATGGTTGCCATGTCCTAGCATTATGCCAGTTAAAGGAATTACCTCTTTCAAGTCTCACCAGACACCTATGATGTGAGCATATTAATAATCTAATATTTCAGATGAGGAAACTAGAATGTTGATAACTTAAGAATATTTCCAGCTTTTTGATTCAGGCTGTCTAATTGCAGAACCCTGGTTCTTAACCATTTTACTGCACTGCTGCTAATGCGAATATTGGGCAATACCTCTAGTTAAATTTTGCAAGACACAGAGTGTGGTGGCCAAATGGAGATTCTTGTAAAATAAAGGCTGAGGTAAATAATTTAACAGGAGCAATTTTTGCAAAGTATTTAGATAATATTTTGCTTGCTGATCATCTAACTTACAGGTAGAGACACTGGGACTTCTGGAAGAGTGGGTTGTTCTCATATCTAATGGGTTCTTTTAAGTGTTCTTTTTGAAAAAATATTTTTATTGATTTCAGAGAGGAAGAAAGAGAGATATATAGAAACATCAATGATGAGAGAGAATCATCGATTGGCTGCCTCCTGCATGCCCCTTACTGGGGATCAATCCAGGCATGTGCCCTTGACCGGAGTCGAACCAGGGATGCTTCAGTCCACAGGCCAATGCTCTATCCACTGAGCCAAAACAGCCAGGGCTCTTTTAAGTGTTCTTATAGGAGGCTTGGGGTGGTCTGCCTTCTCCCACAGAGCACCAGCAGGGGCCTGGCGGGAGGTGGGGTAAAGCAGGAGTGCAGGACAGATTGGGATGAGGCTTAGCAGGAAATAGAAACAGGGGTAGAAAACTGGTAAAGGCATCCTGCTTGAGGTACTTGGCCTGGGCAATGTGAGGAAAGTGGGTTGGGCTGAACAAGAGGAACTTCCTGTCCTGAGGAGGAGTATAAATGGAGGAAGCTGTGTGGTTTCAGAGCCAAGGTCAGAAACATGGGTGTGCCTTTGGCTTGGGAGTGGGAGGAGGGTGCAAATATTTAAAGAGTGAAAGGTAGGTTCTGGGTTACAGGAAACTCATGATTATTTTATCTAACAAAGGTCTATAGTAGAAATACCTCATGCTGCTGAGTGAGACCTGTAGGTTTTATATACCAGCCCGAGTGGTCATCCTTCTGTGAAAGTACCTGAACTATGCCTTGAGTCCAGTCTCATCTCATTCTAATCAATGCCTTCCAGAGCCTTCAGAATAATGTGTTTTATACACTCTTTCAGCAGGTCTGAGCTCATGAACTGTCAGAGGCTCTCTACTACCTATTTCAAATTCAAACTACCAGTTGGGCTTAATTTTATCTTTCCATCTCTTCCATATCTTCCTATCCCATTCATCGGGTCTGCTTACTGCTCCACAAATGATCATGGCATGGGTTAAATGTCTGTTCCACATGCTTTAGTCCTAACTTCTCAATGTGATTATAAATTCCTTCAGGAGTTATGTCTTTTAACACAGGTTTCTCTTTGCAGGACCCAGTGCTAAACAAACAGTAAATAGTCAATGCCAGTTCTTGACTCCATCATAGTTTACACTGAGCAGTACTCAGAACAGCATCAGACACAATAAGATACTTAATAAGGGTTTTTGTATTGAGATAATGATCATCTCAGATTCAGAAATGTGTTTTTGTAATGCCAACATTGGTAATAATACCTCATGGTAACTTGGTGTAATGAAGTTTAAAAGGCCTGAGTATGAATGCCAGCGCTGTCATGTAGTAACTGTGTGACCCTGAGCAGGGCCCTGGGAGCTAGTTTCCTCATTATAAATGCAAGGTGGTCCTGGGGACCTCAGAGTTGTTGTGAGGACTAAGTCACATACCAAACAGAAAATGTCTAGCATGGTAAATGGCTCCAATAGGCACTCAGTAAATACCTATTAGAGAAGATTAAATATCTCTTAACATTTTATTCTATTAGATTTCTACATTTTACCATTATTTGAACCAGAAAGATAATTTTAAATTTTCTTTAAACTTTTTTGAGATTTGATATTCTTTGTTAGTGATAAGTTGATAGGCATCCTATTAACAAAGAATATTTTTTTGTTTTCTTTATTGGTAATTATCTAGATCTTAAAAAAAGTAAAAAACAAGACAAATCACTTAACTTTGAGCTGGAAATCAGGAGAAAGAGAGGAAACAAAAAAAGGAGAGAGAGGAATAAGGGGGGGTAGAGAGATTCCCCAGATTTCTGATGGAAACATCACCCACAAACCCTTGATTTAGGGCCATGATGAGGTCCTGGTGGTAGGGAAGGCCCACTTAAGGGATCCCCGCCTGTTGCAGAGTTGCACTATGAGTCTCCATGGTAGAGCGTGCTCTCTGATCAACTTGACTTTGCTGCAGGATGGGTATGGCTGAAAGCAGACTACTGTGAATGAACCAGGAGTGAGAACATTAAGATCAAACTTTATTTCACCCAGAAACAGAAAGATAAAATGGCATTCTTCTCTATTGCCATTCTATCCCATCTTCTTGTCTTTCCATTTAGGGCTGCTGACAGGGTGCTGGGGCTATTGTGCCAGGCGTGGAGATTCTGCCCACTGGTCAAGAGGCCACACTCTCAGATGTTGGCTGTGCACCTGCCTCCTGAGGTTGGCCCTTGTACACACAGGGCCTTAGTTGCTTCTGTAAGTACAGTAAAATTCTGTTAATATGGTGTTATCATTCAACAAGAGAAGAGTGAAGCAACCAGTTGTCAAGAGGAGACTTTTTCCTGACATCATTTGTTCTTTATTGAAAAGTACAGATAATATTTGAAATGGAATAAAAACTCAAAGGATCAAATGCATTTGATAAGTTGAAGTAGCAGTGGCAGATGCCTCCACAAACAACTGTAGCTGTTTAAAGCCCTGTCTTGTTTACCTAGGCAGAACACAGCAAGGATTATGAAGTGGGTGCTTCCCTCATATTAGAAGCAATTGAAGACAATCATATTGTCTTTTTTTTTTTTTTTTAAAAATCAGCGCTCTTCAATGTCATAGCCAGGTATTAAATGCTATGTTAATATTGAAGAAAGGATGAGAATGAATATCTTTTCCTCTTTTGATTGATTTTATAATTTGTGGATATTTCTTAATAATACTCCTCTAAACTGGAGAGGTTTTTCTTCATCTGGAAAAATTGGGAGGTTGAACTACATAATACCATGGCACATTATTTATTAATTGATACTAATTCTATTAGCACAATTGCAGTTGTCATACCAAAAGACCATAAATGGCTTTATGGACTGAATATATATGCAGTATGTGCCCACAATTACTTTGTTGGGCTGAAACATATTAGGTCATGTTCACAAGCTTGAAACACAGCCTTTATATAATGTCTGTGTTAGACTACATATATACCTATACAGGGCACCTGCCTCAGAGAGTTGTTAAGAGAAAAATATGTGTGAAGTCTTCAGTACAGTGCCTGGGACAGAGGAAGTGCTTGATCATGTTATTATCCATTCCAGGATCTCAGCATCTTTGTAATTTTTAGTGTCTCATCCTTGGCAATGGGAAAAGTCTTATTTACCTCCCAAGGTTCTCTTAAGAATTGGAAAAGATGATGCAAACTAATGCTTCTCACACTTGAATGTGGGTACGAATCCCTGGGCACCATGTTAAGATGCAGATTTGGATTCAGTCGATGTGGAGTGGGGACTGAGATCTGTATTTCTCCCAAGTCCCTTGGATGGAGGCAGATGTCAGTGAAGCATCTCAGGCACATCTTAAAGCTGCAGAGCTAGTATTGGCTCTGAAAGGCAGGGTCTGCCCTTCATTAAGAGAGAGCCTCCTGAAGGATGGGACACTGACAAAGGGTGAGAAGTGATTAGGGGACTGACTGTTGTTTTCCTTTCTAGACATAAAAAAGAGAGGTCAGCACAGAAATGTGAGAGTTCTCTCCATTCTAAAAAGATAGTCCCCCAATTCATTTAAATAGTGGTTCATTTCAAATCCCAAATAATAGTTTGCAGAATGAGCAAATCATACCTTTCCTAGTGATAGACATTTGACAGTAGGTTTAATTATATTCTCCCAACGTCTCTCATAAACAACAGCAGTGCATCTTAGCATTTCCTATCCGTAAACAAAGGCCAAAAGAGAGAACAGTGTTATTCATGAAAACTTAAACAAGTATAAAATATCAAGTAGATTTCCAGGGAATAAGTAGAGAGTTGCATGACTACTCACTCCAACTTTATTGATCTCACAACTTTCAGTCAACTCTTTATTACTTTCCTTGGAACATGTGGTTTCCCTGGCCGTGAAGTCAATAAAATATCTTGATCCAGCCACCACCTAGAAAATTAATTAGCACAAAGTAGAACCTTCATTAATATTATATAATAAATAATATATTTTGCCCTAAGGGATCTTAGGGGAGAATATTAAAGTTCTAATTATACACTGATCAAATGAGAGGTATACTAATAAAAGTACAAATGTTTGACAACTAAACTTTCAGTTTGTATGCATGTGTAAAATATTTGGATGCAGTTTGGTCTACAATTTTTATATTTATACTTTTCTGAGTTTCATTATTCAACAACATTCAAGTCCTCATGTTGTAATAGAATCTAAGAAGAATAGGAAGAAAAACTTAAACATTTTCTTTAAGTATGGTTTATTGTCTTTCCAAGTCTTGAATCAGAGAAATACTGAATTAGTGTCACTACAGAAATTGTGGGTTAAATTATATAATTAGAAAAATTCTTTGGATTTTGTAGTTTGCCTCTCTTAATTGTCATATATTAAGAAACCATTTTAATCTCTATCAATAATTTTGTAAATGAATTTTTAGAGAGAGAGGAAGGAAGAGGGAGAGAAAGAAACACTGATCAATTGCCTCCTGCATGTGCCCTTACTGGGAATTGAATCCACAACCTTTTGGTGCTCAATAGGATGTTCAACCAACTGAGCCACACTGGCCAGTGATCTAAGCAACAGTTTTAATCTTTATACAACACTGTGTCCACAATGAATATTTTGTGGCCCAATTAATTTATTTTTTTATATAAAAGAGGCACACTTTATTTATTTAAAAAATTAAACTCATGCTTTTTAAAATATACTGCCTTCAATAAAATTGCACATATGGCTTTTTAAAAGTCATTTCAAAATGCCATACCTTACATCTCTTACACTTAAAAAATATACTTGGTAAAAATGACTTTAAATTGTATGTTAAAAAGTTAGTTGATATGGCCCAATTTCTAGTTCAAGTTATTCAGTACTTAATTCTAGGATCTAAATGTGTGTGTGTGTGTGTGTGTGTGTGTGTGTGTGTGTGTGTGTGTAAAAGAACACATGAATATATCAGTTGACCTGGAGAAATGACTATTATTTTTAAAAATGAAGTTTCAGCCCTGGTTGGTGTGGCTCAGTTCGTTGAGTGTCATCCCATGCACCAAAGGGTCCTGAGTTTGATTCTCAGTCCAGGCACATGTCCGGGTTGCAGGTTTAATCCCCGGTTGGGTGTGTGTGTGTGTGTGTGGGGGGGGGCGCGGAAGGCATGCAAGAGATTGATGGTTCTCTCTCCTTCTCCCTTCTTCTCTCTCTAAAATCAATAAAAGCATATTAAAAATAAAATAAATGAAATTACAGGGTAATAGTAGAATATCGTTTGAAAAAGCAAACCACAACAGTCTTCCCTTTCTCTGTGTTTCTTAAAAGTATGGAAAACGTGTGGCAGGAGGAAGAGAGCAGGAGAACAGAGTCATAGGAAGAGCTAAGCTCTCCTCTACTTTTTCTGGCATTGTTCTGCTGGGTAAACATGGTTACATTTTTAAGAAAAATTTGATACTTAACTTTTAAGACTCCAGGTATAGGTGTAAATGGGGAGGAAGGTTCTAAGAGGGTTTTAGGGTCTAATTTTGGTGATCATAAGTCTAAATTTGTTCCGACAGAAAGGACAACTGATTTTCAAAATTCACAGCAAGCAAAGTAAAAAAATAAAAGCTGGGATAAACATGGTATAAGATTAATATTTTTATGCATGTAAAGCCCAACACGAAAAAATGAACAAAAGACTTGAACAAGTATTTCAGAAAAGAAATTATGACTATCTTCATTAATAAACAAAAATAAAAAACAACAACAATGCAACAGCATTTTTAATCTTCCATATGTTTGCAAAACAGTGGTGACACCTGCTATTGACCACGTGTGGGAAGCACACAGTCTCAGTCACTGTTGTTAGGAATAGAACTCAAAGCAAGATGATCAAGGTCCTAGAGCCAGGTGGTATGAATGTAAATTGGCATAATTGCAAATAGTTTGGCAATTTGGCAATTTGCATCAGAAGTCTTAGACATACTATACATATGCCTTGACATTTCTAGTACTTTGTTAAAGGAAAACTTCCTGAATGTGCACACACAGATCCTTGAGGTATATTCATCTGAGCAAAGACAGGGAGGAATATGGACAATGGGGGGACAGTGGCGGCAGAGACAGGGGAAAATAAACGGCCTGTGACAGAAATCACATCATTCACATGTGGAAACGGGGAATTTAAGAAACATTTGGCACCTGAAACCAGCTTGAAATGGACATGCATCCAAATAGGACTAAATATGCAGAGCCAAGGCAAGACCAAATCTGTAAATTAAATCTTTGGCAAAAATTGCTCATTTGGCAAATTCGTCACATGGTAAATGGATTTCGAGTAACTCGGCTGCTTCTAGCAGGGCTTCCTTGAATAATCATGTCAGAACAGCCAAATTGTTCTCTTTAAATGTAAAAACCAGTAAAGATTCATCTTTTGTAAGTAAGTTTGAGATTCTCACCATATTTCAAATTGATTTGGCAAGTGAAGGAATGTCAGTTCCCTTCAGTTAACAGCATTGCCTATTGTTGTTCCCCTAGCATCCTCAGCATAAACAAAACATACCACGCTAGAATATTGATTCATTAATTTACAGAGAACTGTAAGTACTATGAAGACTAGATAGTCATGTATAAAATGAGCGGTTCTCTCCTGACAGCAAACCTCTGATATGCAATATATGGTGGAGTAGAGAGTATTCCTACATCAAAAATAAGGGAGATTCACAAGAAAGCAGAAATATGAATTGAGAAGAAAAGCTGACAAACACAAGAATAGCATTGGGGCGTGTGGGTGGGTAAGAGGTCAACCAAAGGACTTGTATGCATGCCTATAAGCATAACCCATGGACACAGACACTAGGGAGGTGAGGACATGTGCTAGGAGTGGGAAGAGCAGGGAAGAGGTCAATGGAGGAAAAAGGAGACATATGAAATACTTTAAAAATAAATAATTAAAAAAAGATATATGCACCCCTATGTTCAAAGCAGCACAATTTATAAAAGCTAAGATTTAGAAACAGCCTATGTGCCCATCAGCAGATGAGAGGCTTAAAAAATGGTGGTACATCTACACAATGGAATACTATGCTGCTGTAAAAAAGAAGGAATTCTTAACATTTGCAACAGTATGGATGGACCCAGAGAGCATTATGCTAAGCAAAAGAAGCCAGTTGGAGAAAGATAAATATCACATGATCTCACTCATTTGTGGAATATAATGAACAACATAAACTAATGAACGAAAATAGATTCAGAGACATAGACGCATTGAACAGATCATTTAACCTCAGAGGGAAAGCAGGGGCCTGGAGGGTAAGAGATCAATCAAAGGACCTGTATGCTTGCATATAAGCATAACCAATGGACAAAGACTATAGGGGGGTGAGGGAATGGCCTGGGAGAGGTTAATGGGGGAAAAGGAGTCATATGTAATACTTTAGACAATAAATAATTTAAATTAAACAAAAGAATAGCATGGATTGGTGAACCATGTGAGTACACCACTAACATGGGTCATGCGCCCGTGAAATGAGGGAGAAAGGTTGTGGTGTCAGGGGCAGGAATAAGTGCCTGAGTAGGAGAGAGACAAAGTGTCAGTTTTTACTTATTTTAATACCATTTGGTTAGGTTTCCCCTGCAGTAGTGAAACTAATACAGGAAATTGGAAGATGAAAGTAAACAGCCCACTGGGCCCTCACCTAAACCACCACTGTGAATAGTTGGAGGCATTTGTTTCCTTTCAGTATTGTTTTCTGTGCTTTTTATAACACACCTGACAACAAAATGTATAGTCAATTTTATGGCCTCTTTTTTTCCCACTGCATATTTTAACACAAGGCATGTGCTACATCAAAAACTCCTCACAAAGATGCTTTAAAATTGCTCCTTGATACTCTATTTTAAGGATATGCCAGACAGTATTTGATCATTTCTATATTATTGATCGTTTTGACAGTTTACCATGTTGTCTTTTATAGTTAAAGTTGCAATGAGTATCATTGTCTATAAGACTCTATTTTAAATTTCTAGAAATTCAATTACTGAGCCAAAAGTATGAATTGTTATAAATGAAGTCTCTCACACCCTGCCCCCCCCATCAGATTATGTTGGTTTGCTGAAACAGTTTGGTTCTATTTTGTTCACATTTAGGGAGGCCGGTTTTGAGGTTTATAATAGGAATCTGTCCATGAGTCGATTACTCAGATGCTGTTAGAGTTGGAAGAAATTTGGGCTCTTCTCACCCAGCTCCTCATTTTACAGATGGGCCACAAGACTGAGTGAGTGTGAATGACAGCCCGGGGTTTCCCAGGACATGAGGGCTGGTGCTCTGGTAGAACTGGATCTTCTGACCCCCTGACTAGGATGTTCCTTATCTATTGACAGGGCATGGAAGGAAAGATGAAGGCATAGCAGTGGTTCTCAACCTTCTTAATGCCACGACCCTTTAATACAGTTCCTCATGTTGTGGTGACCCACAACCATAAAATTATTTTTGTTGCTACTTCATAACTGTAATTTTGCTACTGTTATGAATTGTAATGTAAATATCTGATATGCAGGATGTATTTTCATTGTTACAAATTGAACATAATTAAAGCATAGTGATTAATCACAAAAACAATATGTAATTATATATGTGTTTTCTGATGGTGTTAGGCGACCCCTGTGAAAGGGTCGTTCGACTCCCAAAGGGTCGTGACCCACAGGTTGGCGACCCACAGGTTGAGAACCGCTGCCCTAGAGGGTACATTTGTGGGCTGGAAGGCCATGTAGGCAAGGGGGAAGTGACATGGAGGTGAGAGTGTGAAGAGAGTCTGGGTGATGATAGACTGACCTGTGGCTGATTCCAAGGCACTAAGTGATGCTACAACAAGGAACAACTCTAGAAAGGCAGAGAATAAGAGTAGCTTTTCCTTGCCCTACATGTTATTAATTATATAATAGTTGCTAGACTTTATATAACACTTTAAAGTTTGAGAAGATAATTTATTGACATATATCTCTTTTTGTGTTCCATTTATTTATGCATTTACTGGCTGCTTCTTGCATGTGCCCTGACTAGGGATTGAACCTTCAACCTTGGCATATAGGGATAATGTTCTAAACAACTTAGTTACCTGGCTAAGGCTTATTTGAGTCTCACCCAGTCCTTTGCAGACAGAAAATGGAATGTTCTAAACGACTTGTCTAAGATCACGTAGCAAGCATGTAGTGAGGTTGAGACTTGACATTCATTTCCTTTTACCAGGTATACTATTTCCCAACCAAGATCAGTGGCAATATTAGTAAGCAGTTTGCACATAGACTACATCACTATCTTTGTAGCTTAATTTACATACCTGTGATGTTGCTCTGTGCACAATGTCAATCTTGAAATAGAAAGTTGCATTATTCTCTGCATTAAGCTTTGTAATGGAATGAGTCAAGGCGTCCTTCAGATTAGAGCTATTGACAGGTATCTCTACGGGGCAGCCAGCGCAACGACTGCGAGGTGGTGATAGAAAATCCTCCTCTGAAAAAGGAAGCAGGTTTTAAGTCAGTGTGTGTACTGAAGGAGCAGTCTAGCCTAGTTCTTCTCCTGCACATTGTCCAGCACTCATTTATATGGGGCCATGTGCAGCCTAAAGGCCAGTAGTGAGTGGGTAGAGGTTGTCTGTGTGACCTTCACCTTACTGCCTGCCCTCTTTTCCTCTCCTCAGAGTCAAGGGCATTTAGGGAAACCTTCCATCAGAAGGCGTTAGTTAGTTCACCTTCAATATCAATGTGCTGCACTGTTCCTAACTTTTTTGCATTTTTGAAAGAAAGTGTAAAATAGCAACGCTTAATTTAAAGGAATGATTCTCTAGTGGTAAAATTTTAAGTCCTCTGATTCTGGTGAGCAGGGAGCTTCAATGATGCTTCTCACTGTGGAATGTATGCAAATATCTTCCTTCCAAGTATGAAAAAAGCCAACTCTTGATATTAAAAACACTGGCTTGGCCATAAACTTGCACTATCTCACTCCCCCTCCTCCCCCCATTATAACATGCAGGAGAAAAAAGTATTTAATTGAAAGAACTTATTCTGAGTAATTAAATGGGAGATACAGCTTTCCCAATTTATAACACCTGAGGTAGTGAATCTTATACACAAGGAAGACCAGCTGACATTGCATGTGGAGATCAGCTTTGCCCAAAGAACATAAACCTTTCCTTCTGTCACCATATTTCCTCTGGCCACTTGCAGAGCAGTCCCAGCTGCATCATCTACAACACAGCTGTGCAGAAAGGGGGTACAGCTGTAAGTGTTGTTGATTATATCATGGGACCTAAAGTACAATTCCTATTAAAAGGCATAGCCATGTGTCTGGGATCAACATGTACTACTAGAGCACAAACATGTATTATAACATACCTGGTAAAATCTGACACTTCTGTGAGAAGGAAGCAATTCTTAACTGAGGATCCATGTATGCAAGATCTGTACATTCACCGGTATGCTAGTTTTTCAAAAGTAAATAAGTTAAAAAGGTTTTTAAGAACTTTTAAAGTAAACAACTAGTAACATTAAATATAGGATGTTTATTTTACATAGAAAACAAAACAAACCTAACCTCATTGCAAAAGAGAGAATAAGAAACTATTAGGTACTAATATCAACAACAAAAAATGTATTTACACAAACACATAAAATAAGATGACAAGAATACCTAGATAGAAATAATAATCATATAGGTCAGCCAGCATGGCTCAGTGGTTGAGCATCAACCTATGAACCAGGAGGTCATGGTTTGATTCCTGGTCAGGGCATATGGCCAGATTGCAGGCTTGATCCCTAGTGTGGGGTGTGCAGGAGGCAGGTGATCAATGGTTCTCTCACTCATCAATGTTTCTATCTCTCTTGCCCTTTTCCTTCCTCCTTGAAGTCAATAAAAATATATTTAAGAAATAATATATTTGAATGGGTAACATTTCTTTTAGAAAAACAAAGAATTCAGGACCAGCCCATGTAGTTCAGTGGTTGAGTGTCCACCCAGGAACCAACAGGTCATGTTTAGATTCCTGGTCAGGGCACATGCCCGGGTTGTGGGCTGAATCCCCAGAGTGGGATGTGCAGAATACAGCTGGTCAATGATATTCCTCTCTCATTGATATTTCTATCTCTCTATCACTCTCCCATCCTTTCTTTCTAAAAATCAATAAAAACATTTTTAAAAAGAGAAAGGCAAAGACTTCTGTATTAAGTTAAAAACAAAATTAATGTATTACATTTTTCAAGATTAATATCTTGTAATATAAAAGATAAAGGTAGATTAAACATAATGAATGATCAAAACTATATGAAGCAAATATAAACAGAAAAAGGATCTAGAGTATTATTAATATTGGACAAAGTAAACTTCAAGGTAACAAAAAACTCAAGATGGTAGTAAAGAAGATAATTTTATTTTTATAAAGATATAGTCTAGAAGCATGGAGTTAAAATACATAAAGCAGGAATTAGATATATATGTGTAGAAATAGATTAAAATAATGGTGGTGGAGAAATTTTATGTAGTTTTAGTTATAAATTTAAGATAGAACAAATGGATAAAAAATAAATAAAATAATAAAAATATATTTAGGTGGTATTTTCATTTGATCCATATGACTTAAATGATATTTTTATAAGTATGATATAGATATTTTAAATTGCTTTCACATTAGGTTACAAGAAAGGCTCAATAAACTTCCAAATTGAATCAATACAGGTCATGTGCTTTGACTTCAGCACCAAAAGAAAAAAAATCCTAAAAATATATTTAAACAAATAAACAAGAAACTAACTACTTCCTTTTCTCACCTCCAAACAACACAGATGTTTTATAGATGAATAATTTTTGTAATTGAAGAAACATTTGGTTCCTTGCTATGTAAACTGTTTCTGAACATAGAATATAGTGGCAAACTACCCAAGTCAAAAAAATAGTGGCTAACCACCTAACTAAAAAATAGAAGGCAGCAGGGATAGTGGAGGAGCAAATATGACATGGACTGACTCCATAAAAGAAGCCAAAGAAATGAGTCTACAGGTGCTCAGCAGAGCTGTTGAGGTCAAGACAGTGTGGCCATCACTCATTCATAGGGTCACCAGGAGTCAGAGCTGACTCAACTGCATGTAACACACACCCAATTCATTCCAGAAAACTACTAGGGGCCCAGTGCATGAAAATTTGTGCACTCAGAGGGGTCCCTCAGCCCGGCTTGCGTGCTCTAGCAGTTTGGGACCCCTCAGTGGATGTCCACCTGCTGGCTTAGGGAGTGGGCCTAAGCAGGCAGTCAGACATCCTCTGGCAGCCCAGGAACCCTTGGGGCAGCGGTTCTCAACTTGTGGGTCTCGACCCCTTTGGGAGTTGAAGGACCCTTTCAAAGGGGTCGCCTAAGACCATTCTGCATATCAGGTATTTACATTATGATTCATAACAGTAGCAACATTACAGTTATGAAGTAGAAACGAAAATAATTTTATGGTTGGGTCACAACATGAGGAACTGTATTTAAAGGGCCAGAAGGTTGAGAACCACTGCCTTGAGGGATGTCTGACTAATGGCTTAGGCCTGCTACCCAGTGAGAGCAGGCCTTAGCCATTAGTTGAACATCCTTAGCACTGCTGCAGAAGCGGGAGAGGCTCCCACCACTGCAGCTACCCTATAGCTGGCTTCTGGATGAGCGGAGCTCCCTCTATGGAAATGCACTGACCACAAGGGGGCAGCTCCTGTGTTGAGCGTCTGCCCAACAGTGTGCATCATAGCGACTGGTCATTCTGCTGTTAGTGTCAATTTGCATATTGCCTTTTTATTATGTAGGATAATCTGGATACCAAAACTTGAAAAAATATAATGCACACACAACCACACCCAGAAAACTGTCAAACCTCTTTCACTTATAAAGAGGTACACTTCTTGAACTAAAAATAAAATCTAAATGCATATTTAAAGAATGACTAACTCTAGAGTTTATGAATCTAGAGGTTACTATTAGGAAACTTGTCAAAACAAAATAACAAGTTAAATTAGAAACACATAACATGATATTTCAATACATATTTAAAGCATTTGCTAAATTCTAACACAAATTTCTTTTTTTTCTTAAATTAAAAAGAAATTGTTGGGGTGACATTGGTTAATTATGTAGGTTTCAAGTGTACAATTCTATAATACATCATCTGTATATTGTATTGATTGTTTACTACCCAAAGTCAAGTCTTCTTCTGTCATCACTTATCCCACCCTTTATCTTCTTCTACTTTCCCCCACCCCCTTTCTCTCTGGTAATCTGTGTCTGTGAGTTTTTGGTGTTTTTGTTTTTGTTTTTGTTTTGTTTAATTCTTTCATCTTTCTCACCTAACCCCACTCTAGTCTCTAGTCTCCCCTCTGACAGCTGTCAGTCTGCTCTCTGTATCTATAAGTCTGTTAATGCCAATATCTTATTTAAAAACAAAACAAACTTCTTTAAAAGCAGGAATGGAAGGATGCTTTTTTAATATGACAAGAATGCCTACCTGGAACCCATAGCAAATATTATAAATAACAAAATTGTAGAGGCTTTCCTAATAAAATCAAGAATGAAACATAAAGATGTGTGGAATATCTCTGGAAGTTTGGTCAATTCATTGAGACATAGAACAAAACATAAGCATCAGAAAATAGGAGATAAAACAATATCTTATTTTACACCTAGAACAATCAAAAGAATGAGTGCAAAGCTGTTAGAGTTAATCAGAGCTCACTCGCTGAATATAAGGTAAATATGTCTAAATTGATACATTTATATAAAAATAGCATTAAAAAGAATAAAAAAATGAAAAACAAAATGTAATTTTTCAGAGCAGTAACCAAAATAAACAAACAAACAAACAAAAAAACACCCCGACAACACCTAGAAATAACTTTAGTGAGCAAAGTTCTGGATATATAAATAAAATCACACAACTTTTAGAAGTTTAAAATAAAACTTGAATAAATATAGATGTATGCCAAGTTCTTTACTGAAAAGGCAAAATATATACATACATCAATTCTTCTTAAATTAATTTAAATACATTTTTATTGATTTCAGGGAGGAAGGGAGAGGGAGAGAGATAGAAACACCAATGATGAGAGAGACTCATTGAATTGGCTGCCTCCTGCACACCCCCTACTGGGGATTGAGCCCACAACCTGAGCATGTGCCCTTGACCAGAATCGAATCCCAAAACTGTCAGTCAGCAGTCCAATGCTCTATCCACTGAGGCAAACTGGCCAGGGTTCCTTTAATTAATTCAGAAATGTTATGTAATTCCAACCTATATGACAACATAAGTTTTTCTTACAAACTTATTCTAAGGTTGGTTTTAAAGTTATAAATACTAGAATAATAAATCACAAATTTAAACCTACTGTTAAAACATGGCAGTGCAAATATAGAGAACAGGTTTTTCATAAGAAACTATTATGGAATTAAGGTTGTCACAAATTTATGTATAAAGGAAAAATGTTGAGATATCTGGTTATCTTCTTGAAAAAAAGCCTCAATTTAGAAAATTCAAAAGATACATTAAAATTAATTCCGGGTGGGTTCAAAAGCTCTATTTACTGACAAACTAGGGAAAAAAGATGACTACTGAGCGAATGGTGGAAGAATTCAAAAGGAACATGTTAGTAGATTTGGTCACCAATAAGCAAAATCTATTGGTAAGTCAGAATACCATAATGAAACTAAAAAATGAACAACTAAGAAAATATGACAAAATCCTGATACCTTTAATATACAAATACTCTTTTTCAAATCATTAAGATTTACCCCAAAGAGAAATGGACAAAGGATACGGAAAACAATTCATAAGTTCAATCTATAAATTTCTAACAAATTTCTATTTATGAAAATAAGAATATATACCAAATACAGAAATAGTCTTATTCTCAAGAATTTTTGGTGAGTTATTAATGATAATAAAAATGGAAATAATTCAAATGTCTAACTATAGGAAAGTAATTAAAACAACAAGCTATGGTATCTTTAATAGGATATTATACAGCTATTTAAAAGCAAGTTTATCAAGAATTTTAGAGTTGTAGGAAAATTCTTAGGTGAAAAAAATGCAGCATGAAAGCCTGGCTGGCATGTCTCAGTGGTTGAGCATTGACCTATGAACCAGGAGGTCACTGTTTGATTCCTGGTCAGGGCACATGCCCGGGTTATGGGCTTGATCTTCAGTGTAGGGCGTGCAATGTTTCTCTCTCTCCCTCTTCCTTCCTCTCTGAAATCAATAAAAATATTTTTTAAATGCAGTATATAAAATAATGACAATTATTAACAGACACAAAAAAATCACCAAATTGTCTATATCTCCTTAACCTCCCCAACCCCAAAAAAGATAAGAGGGAAATATCTTTGGGTATTTGGGTATGTGGTTTAATATTATTATTGTTTTCTATGTTTTTTTATTGCCTTCTGCATGGGGCATGTTTATTTCCAATACAGAGATTATATATATACATATATATATAAAATAAAAAATGTCATAGCTGTTAAAGATACAAGGAATACCACACTTATAATACCTTAATTTTGGATGAGGAGGTGGATACTGGAAGTAGCTCTGAGGTTCTCAATTCTATTAGCATATTTGATTCACCTAGAAGCTTTTAGGTTATTCTGACTCTAGAGACCCACCCCAGACCTAATCAGAATGCCTGGGGAATGGCCTAGGAGAGGTTATTTTTAAAGCTGGCAATGTGATTCTAATATGCAGTATGGCCCAAGAACTATTTATGAAACTCTTAAATCAGTGCTTTTCCAACCTTAAAGTGCAAATGGCTCACCTGAGAATCTTCTTAACATGCAGATTCAGTAGGTGTGGGTGGAATTCAAGATTTGGCTTTTCTAACAAGCTCCCTGGTGATGCTGATGCTGCTGGTTCAGGGACCAACTTGGAATAGCAAGGCCTTCAGTCTTACCAGTTGTAGGCAAGAGAGTTCATGTATATTTTGTGTCCTTTAATTATTGTAACAACGCTGTGAGACCGGTGCTGTTATTCCTCACCATTTTACAAATGAAGAAGTGGAAGTTCAGGAAGTTATACCAGAAATCTGATTGGATTTGTGACTCCAATCAGCCCTGCATCTGTGTGTGTTGCAAAGAAAGAACTAAATTGAGGCCTTAGATAACATTGAAGCCTATATAATCTCAAATGGCTAACTAAAGAACATAAGAAACAGAAGGTGTTAATAGATGCTTTAAAGGCCAGATGACTAAAAATAACAAAGTTAAATAGAAGCTAGAGCATACATTTTTGGTCTCTCTCTCTCTCTCTCTCTCTCTTTCTCTCTCCCTTTTAACTATTTTTTTTTATTATAGTAAAATATATGTAACATAAAGTTTGCCATTTCCACCATTTTTAAGTATATAACTCAGTGATATTAATTTTATTATTTAACTATCACCGCTATTTCCAGTAGTTTTCATCACCCTAAACCAGTGGTCGGCAAACTGCGGCCCCTTGAGTGTGGCTCTTCCACAAAATACCACGTGTGGGCATGCACGTACAGTGGGATTGAAACTTCGTGGCCACACTCAAGGGGCCAAAGAGCCGCATTTGGCTCACGAGCCGCAGTTTGCCGACCACTGCCCTAAACACAAATTCTGTACCCATTAAGCAATCAATACTCATTTTCCCTCCCTCTAGCGGCTAGCCCTTAGTAAACTCAAATGTACTTTTGTTTCTATGCATGTGTTAGATATTTCATATAAGTGGAATCATACAATATTTGTCTTTTTATGTCTTTCTTCTTTCACTTAGCATAATGTTTTCAAGGTTCATCTAAGTTGTAGATTGTGGCAGAATTTCATTTCTCTCTATGGCTAAAGAACATTCCATTGTTTTATATATACATCACATTTTGTTTTTCCACTCATTTATGTTGTTTCCACTTTTTGGCTATTGTGAATAATGTTGCAACAAATCCTAGCATGTAAGTATCTGTTTGACTCCCTGTTTTTCAATTCTTTTGGGTACATACCTAGGAGTGCCATTGCTGTGTCATATGGTAAGTCTATGTGTAACTTTTTGAGGAACTACCAAAGTGTTTTCCACAGTGGCTGCACCATTTACATTCTCATCAGCAATGGACAAAAGTTTCAGTTTTTCCACGTCCTCCCCAATATTAGTAATTTTCCAATTTTTAAAAAATTATAGCCATTTTTTAGGTGTGAAATGGCATCTCATTGTGGCTTGTTTTACACTCCCCCTCCCTTGGTAGCTAATTATATTGAGCATCTTTTCATGTGTCTAATGACTGTTTGCATATCTTCTTTAGAGAAATGTTTATTTAAAAGTCCTTTGCTCATTTGAAAATTAGATTGATTGTCTTTTTGTTGTTGCATTATAGGAGTTATTTACATATTGCATATTTAATTCTTATCAGATATATGATGCAAATAATTTCTCCCATTTTCTGGGTTGTCTTTTCACTCTCTTAATAGTATCCTTTTAACTTTTCTCCCAATTATGAAATAAATACATGCTTGATTAGAAACATTGGCTAGTACTAAAGAGTACCAAAAAGTATAAAGAATAAAAAAAAGCACACATAGTTTCAACTGAAAGTTAACTATGGTTTATATATTTGCATATTTTTTATCACTTAATATTTTTTTATGAGTTACTTGAGGCAAACTAACAACATTGGACAGGGAGCAAGATCTCAAATGCTCCCCTCCATCACTTTTTTGTTGTTGTTAATCCTCACCTGAAGATATTTTTCCATTGACTTTAGAGAGAGTGGCAGAGAAAGGGAAAGACAGAGAGAAACATCGATGTGAGAGAAACACATCATGGATAGAGCGTTGGCCTGTGGACTGAAAGGGTGCAGGGTCAATTCTGGTCAAGGGCATGTACCTTGGTTGCAGGTACATCCCCAGTAGGAGGTGTGCAGGAAGCAGCTGATCGATGTTTCTCTCTAATCAATGTTTTTAACTCTCTATCCATCTCCCTTCCTCTCTATAAAAAAATCAATAAAATATATTTTAAAAAAAGAAAAGAAGCACATCAATAGGTTGCCTCCTGTACATGCTGCGAACCAGGGCCTGGTCTGTGCTGGGAGGAGCTTGCAAGAGAGTAACATGCCCTTGACCATAATTGAACCTGGGTCCCTTTGGTCCTCAGTCCAACGCTCTGTCTGCTGAACCAAACTAGCCAGGGCCCCTCCATCACATTTGATATTTTACATTTATTTTATATATTTAAATGAATATGTATCTATAATTTTATATATATTTTAACTTCCCATATTATAACCATTTTACTAAATCACTAAAAATCTGTAAACATACTTTTTTTAAAAAAATATATTTTATTGATTTTTTACAGAGAGGAGGGGGAAGGGATAGAGAGTTAGAAACATCGATGAGAGAGAGACATCGATCAGCTGCCTCCTGCACACCCCCTCCTGGGGATGTGCCCGCAACCAAGGTACATGCCCTTGACCAGAATCGAACCTGGGACCCTTGAGTCCGCAGGCCGATG